TTATGTCCCTGAGTTCATCTCAAGTCACCAATGGTATCTAACAGTTTTTCGCGAAACCCTTTTGATAAAGGTATGCTTCTGAGATATAAAATCGCCTCAGATGTGTTCAGGAGGTCGACGATACGGATCGACTGATATGCAGCATGACCCTTTTCCTGTCAGGTCATGACCTTACCCTTAATTCAACTTTTTCAAGTTGACCCTTCAATGTCAAAGTATGGTTCGCTCGATGCGTCCTGACGAGAGGAACACAATGCCGGCAAAAGTAAGCTCGTGCAAGGTTTGAGCCAAAAGTTATTGCAGAAAAACTGTTTCCAAAAAAAATCGCGGCTATTTTGACAGCTATTGCCCCCCCCCCCCCTGTTGGCAAAACCATTGACGGAAGGTCGAATATGAGGATATTAGTAAGAAAGAAAGTTAAAAGGGCTATCAAATGCGCGTTTCCGCGGCGCTGTAACTCTATAAGTTTCCGAGTTGCGCGTCGGTTTGTTGAAAACTGTCGACATTCGACCTTGAAATCGGTGGAATTTTGCCTTCGATAACCTCTGGTGACCTGACCTGACCTTTGACTGACCAAACAAGTGGCTTTAGTAATTTCGTCATTATTTTGACGCTCTTTCGAACACCGCCTACGGCGCGTCGCTACGTGGCGCAGGAACCGTGTCAAAATAGGGTTGCTTAAACACCCCCTCCCCTAACAGAGCGTGGAAATGGAAATCCAGGACCCCAGCGGGGCGCGGATCCTAGTTCAGCCGTGATCCGTTCCGTCTCTCTGTCTACAATACAATAATAGCGCTACACGAGTCCACCACTGCACTGCGCCAGTCCCTGCCGGGGACGGACACGGGCAGGAAGCGTTCGCTCTTATCTCGTCTCCGGCCGGGTTTGTCAGGGTATATATCTGCAGCGGCGTCGGCCGACCTCAGTCAGTCCGGGAGAGTCAGAGTAGAGAGCAGCTGTTCTGACTCTCCCGGACTGACTCAAGGCCCCCGATTGACTCAGGTTTGGGAGAGTCAGATCCGGTGTGTTCGGCATTCGACTGCATGTTTAAAAGAACGACATTGCACGACGCGTGGCTTGAGACGAAAACGAGGGACACTGATCAGTACACGAGTAAAAAGGTGAGGGCTAAAATGGCAAAAACGAGCTCCCCTTCGAGCTACGATCTCTCGGTTAGTGATGATGACGTCTATGGCAGAGCCGGATGAGAATGTCGGTTCGTTGACGTGGTGAAGCATAGAATATTTCGATACAAAGTCGCTGAGAGCTCGCTTCGAGGGTCCAGCCGCAAGCCAGTCACAGTTTAAATCTCCGGCAAGCACTGCGTCACACTCTGGGCAATGAATCAGAGCATGCTGATACTGCTGCTCTAAAGGAGTGAAGTCGGCATCGAGTGCAGCGACGGTGCGACGAGGCGGGCGGTACAAAGCGGCAATGATTAATCTACGATTTTTATCCCAGGTAAACAGTGACCAGAGCGATTCTAGCTTACAGTTTGGATCGTCAGAGAGAGGGACTTTGATCGGTTTCTGCACATATGAATCACGGAACAGAATGGCGACACCACCGTGACCGAGTGGCGCATATGAGCGGTCAGAGCGTTTCAAAGAGTAACCTGGAAAAGTGAGTAAGCGGTTGGGTACAGATGATTTCAGCCACGTCTCCGATAAAACGACAAAATCATAATCAAATCGGGTAAGTTCATGGGTGAGGTCGGCTATTTTGGGCTTCAGTGACTGAATGTTCAGGGCACTTATCTTGACCAGTCCATCACCGGCTCCCGTCCAACTCCTCTGGTGACGTCTGGGGCCACGCTTACGTTCGTAAGAGCGTCTTCCTCGGTGGGCACCGCGCCGCGACCCAGACCGCCGATCCACACACGCCGGATCACTCGCGCACGCACCACTGGGCTCTCGGCCCCCTCCCTCCGCGGTGGCACGCGCGGCACTGGCCGGCGCCGGCCGGCCGCTGGCCTTGACCCGGGGTCGGGGCAGCTGGCGACTCGCAGGTGTGACGTCATCCCTCGGTGGTCCCGGTCGGGCAGCAGGGCCTTGTTTCACCGGCGCGGTGATAGCAGCACGCTACTGTCAAATTGCGCGAGCTGACGTAATGTGATGAGGTCACACTAATGACGTTTCGTGAAATCCGTGAGCTGCGTTTGGAACAGAGTTGCTGTCTCGTTGAATGCGTTTGATAGCATTGGTTTGATCGCACGGCCGTGAAGATGTTAGCAGCAATATTTGATGACATCACACAGATTGACGGCGTCATGGTTTGTTGATGTTTCCATGGAAACCCAATTTGACACGTGTAATAGCAGCGTGCTGCTATCACCGGTGAAACAGGGCCCAGGTCGGGCAGCTGGGCGGTGTTTCACGGGACGCTGCTACCACGCTGCTATCAAATTGCGCGAGCTGACGTCACACTTGTGGTAGTGTTGGAGCAATGGGCCTGTTGATGTTTCCATGGAAACCCAATTTGACACGTGTAAAAGCAGCATGCTGCTATCACCGGTGAAACAGGGCCCTGGGCGGTGTTTCACGGGACGCTGCTACCACGCTGCTATCAAATTGCGCGAGCTGACGTCACACTTGTGGTAGTGTTGGAGCAATGGGCCTGTTGATGTTTCCATGGAAACCCAATTTGACACGTGTAAAAGCAGCAGGCTGCTATCACGGGTGAAACAGGGCCCAGTTCTCGGTCGCGGCAGCGGGCTATCGGTGACGTCACGCATCAGGCGATCACCCAGTGGCGCAGCTCCGCCGGCCGGCCGACCCGGGAACGCCCCCGAGCGGTGTCGGCGCCACGGGCTGGGGCCTGGGAGCGGGGCAGGCAGCGCCGATCAGGAGTCGGACGATGACCAGGAGGGTTAAGTACCGGGTGATGTCGCGATGCATGTTGCAGTTGAAGTTGGTGTTGCTGCTGGTGCTGCAGTGACGCCACCAAACCAATCATCACCAGCAGAAGGTGCCGGTGTGGTCAGGTGAGTCGCCGCTCGCTGGACTGTGATCAGGTGGGTTGTCGCTCGCTGGACAGGTCTCAGATCCAGCGCCGGAGTCAGTCATCCGAGCTCGGCTTGGACGATGCGGTGGACAGACGCAAATCGAGTAACCGATGATACCGTGCAGGTCTCGCACTCACTCGGCAGCTCACACACACAAGGAGAGGCTGACAGGGCTCGGAGGGGAGGAGAGCCGCGCTAGGGCGGCGCGTCCGCGCACGGAGACGCGCACAGCCGGACTGCCAGCGACGCTCAGCCAACATCCAATAAACGTCCGTGCAACGTCCTATAGACTACAGTGAAATTCGCTTGGCAGCTACAGACACAACCTACCTGCTACAGTATCCAACTACCTCCTACAATATCCAACTAGCGGTGCTTTGTAAAAGTTCACTCACCAAGACATCGGCATACGGCCAACCTAACTGAGACATACGTCAAAAATATACATACAAACACAGACAAGACAGGTGAGACTACGCAATAAGTGCTCCTGAAGCCGCGTCACCAACACTCTGCATCACAAAATAACAGCAACACCACAGCTGACTGGATCGAACTCGAACTGAAGATTGCAAGTATGCCTTGTCACAACGATAGCGTCTTTGAGGGATAAAGCAATAAAACATGGTACAGCTGGTGAGGTACAGCGCGATCCGTCGCCTCGAAAGACACTGCAACGACCAGTCGACGGTGCTGTCATCTGTGCCCGCGGTGAGCTCCATCAAGGGCGGCGCCAGCTGCTGGAGGTCGCTCGCCAGCCCCGGTGGCGCCATCTGCAGCGGCGGGCGCTCCGCCTCGTTCTGTGGGTCGATCCGCGCGCCGGACTGGACCACAAGGCGCTCCGCCTCCGCCTGAGTGCAAACAGAGGGCACAGAAGTCGTTCGGCAAAAGTCAAATACAGGCACGGTGGGGTTATCAATAGAAGTCTGTAATATCTTATCAAAACACGATTTTTTGGTTATTCTAATCTCACTAAATGTTAGAACAGTTTTGCGGCTTGCAAAGTGTTCAGAACTGGTAGCATGATGAAGGGATACAGCAAGGAAAAATGAAAGGCTAGTTAGAAACGGCGAAGAACAATGAACTGCTGGCTTGTTTAACGTCGGATGTAGTTACGGATCAAGTCACCGTTCCGAGCTTCTATCCTCAGGACACTGAAATCCTTCTCCTCCACGCCGCAACCCCCTCCGGGCTGTACAGGCAACTTTATCCCATGCGGGCTGCTCCCTTGGAGCGGCACCGCTGCTCCCGAGGGAGCGCACCCCGTAGCCGGGTGCAGTGAGTACCTTGGGGCTGGGTGGCCTGTCCTCTGGACGGGCTCAGCCCCGGTGACTCACTAGGGTGCCTGTCCAGACCAATGTCTCCCCCTATATCCTATCATCCTCCCGGCTCTGAAATGGTCCCATTGGACCGAAAGGGCCTAACCCAACAAAACAAACAAATACGGATAAAGTAATGAACGGTACGCTATTGTAAAGACGAGATAACGTTTTGGCTTCTTACCAGCATAGGCTGCCGCATCAAACATCGAATCGGCAGCTTCGACGTAGATGGCAGCACTGCAGCCTTATTGGATCCCGGATATGGCACTGCAGTAATACAGTCAGAGCTGTCGGCTCTGCTTCTACATGGTTCGTCGGAAAGTCATTTCATCCACACAAAGAAACGAAATATACCATTCGAAAGCTGACGGTGAGCTGATTCCAAAAATGTAATTTTTAACAAAATCATCCGATGACATTTTTCAAAAAATTGTTTTTGTAAAACTTTGCTTTGGTGCCCTGTCGAAAGTCGCTTAAGAGCATCTTGTTCACAAGCAGTCCAGGAGCTGGTTTGAATGGAACGAAAAGGTGCGTCCACAAACCACTGCTTGTGTTATGCACTATTTAAATTGGGGGTGAGTTGAGACTTGTCAGATTGTGGCCCACCACGATGTATTGTGACAGATTCGAAACCATAAAGATATTATCTACTTTGCCCTCTCAAACATCTCTAATAGCTGGGAATCAGGGACGTGTATTCTCTCCGTAGTATATATGTACAAAAGTAACACAAAAACCATCGACAACAAATCAATCAGCTACTCGACATGTAATCAGAAAAGCGGCATATTCACAAAACGAAAAACAACAATAGAAAAGCGACAAATCCACGAGGAATGATCACACAATCGGGCCAATCATATGACTAACACAATGCAACATTAAAAAAACAATAGTTACACGATCGCAATAGCTGCCTCATTGAAGACTTTACCCAACTCAACACGGTATCAGGCATCAGCAGTAGTCCGAATGCAGCTTGGGAAGGCTGCCTTGACTGGCAGCAAAGAAGGATCGAGCCACTGTCAATGTCAAATCAGCGGCCCTCGGTCAACCCTTGGAGGGGGTGGATATATGACAAGAACAGTCCGCATCGCTTAGATTGGTATCCACATAGCAACGAGGGATGGGCTCAGCCACCCAAATGACCCTCTTAATACAGTGACTGTGAATCTCTTGGTACAACCATCGTAGCAGACAGCGACGGCTAAGACAATCACATCATACGGAGACACGTCAGTGCGGCACAACATCAACACTCAGTGACGTCAGTATGGCGTCACATTGACGTCAAAGTGTCATCATGTTCACCCAGCGGCGAGTCATCACTGGACTTGGACCAGCGAGTCGATGGCGTCAAAATTCTGGTGCTGGGACTTCGGTATTGCACCGGACACACCTTATAACTCAAACTCTCGCAAACATTCGCAAAAACTCATAAGCACTCGCAGGAACACTTCCGATGACTAGCAAGTAGCGACAGCCACCACCGCCGCCTGTGACGTCATACATATGACGTCATCAACGTCAGTTGGCTGCAAGCGCCGCGTCTCTGTCGTTTTGTACTGCCCGGCGACTGATGTGACGTCACTGTCCGGCGCTGGGTGTGACGTCACTCCTCGAGGCGGCGCGTGACGTCATCAGGTACGTGATGATGTCACTACGGAGTTCCGTTCTCGGACCTAAGAAGAAAAGAAACCGATTGTTAGCAAAGGCGCTACAGAAACATAAAGAAGCAGCTGTTATAAAACGCATTTTTTAGACAAAAAAAAAAAAAAAAACGAAAATGAAAAGAGCGAAACCCTGATACATCATCTAATATCACGGAAACTCGTTTTCAAGAACTTGCAGCCTGTTAAAAAAAAAAAAAATATTTTGTGGTAGGTTCAAAACATTGACACCGAGTCAAATGCTACTGCAAAACACGTCTAAGAGCTCAGCTATGACAAGCTGACAGCAATCTTACCAGAATCAGGAATCGTATTTACTACTGAAAACACCGATCACATCAAACTACTGAAGTGACATTTACATAAGACCTAAACAAAGAAAAAACTACATCCTGGGACTAAGTACTCAAGACCAACCTAATACGTATGAGAAAAATCCGATCTTTTCACCGAGAGCCCACCAGCTACTCACTTGAGAACCTTGAGCCGGTCCTTCTCGAAGCTGTTCTCCGGGTGCTCGCAGTCGTATGAGGCCAGCCACAGAGCTGCAGAGAATGATAAGACGGACGTTAGGGCCGACCTCAGCCTGAGCTTATATGCTTTGTTATATAATGCACATATTTCCCTGGTAAAAGTCGGCACGAGCAGGTATCGAGCAGGTTTATATTAGCTATACAGACGTTACCTTGCACTATTCGGGGTCATGCTCCATTCATAACTGATTGATTCTGGTTCGAATGGTAGGATTACAAGGAGTACGGTACAGATCGAAGGTTTGAACTTGGATGTGATGCATCACGTAAAACAAAAAAAAAAAAAACAAAAAAAACGGGCAAAGTAGAAGCAGATGCATAGACGGATAAAGCCTAGCTCTATCCTTCTCTTTCTCATCCCCTCTCTCTCCCTTCCTCTCTCTCTCTCTCTCCCTCTCTCTCGCTCTTCCTTCCTTTCTTTCTTTCTTTCTTTCTTTCTTTCTTTCTTTCTTTCTTTCTCTCTCTCCCCCTCTCTTTCTCTCTCTCTCTCTCCCTCTCTCTCTCTCTCTCCCTCTCTTTCTCTCTCTCTTCCTCCCCCTCCTCACTTACCATGTTCGTCATAGACGGGACCGGTCATCAGGTACTGAATGACCTTGTTCTCCTTCACAAACGGACAGGTCACCTGTTTCCAGGCTATGAACTCAGTCACCTGCTTGGCCAGCTGCCAGAACTTTTCAAAGTTGATGTGGCCGTCCACCAGTCTAGAAGGAGAAAGGCCGGACGATTATACTGGCGCTAGGGACGGATTTAAAGACGCGTAATATAATGGCGAAAAGCTGAGACGTACCTTTTTGATAAAAGCGCCACTTAATTCACAACACAAACATGTAAAAGCCGAGAAAACCGATCCTTCCCGCCATACTAAATTGCCAAACGAGTCAATTTGGAGCTGGCTATAGTTTGTCAATCACACACCAAAGTTTCTGCAACATCAGGAAAACAAAAACTGACAGATAGCCCATCATTCCCCACTAAAACATTTCGGCAACCGTCAATATGCATTCAATCGTCGCCAATGAATGAATAAATGAATGAATGAATGAATGAATGAATGAATGAATGAATGAATGAATGAATGAATGAATGAATGAATGAATGAACGAATGAATCAATGAAGCAATCAATCAATCGGTCAGTCAATCAATCAATCAATCAATCAATCAATCAATAATTTACCATCCTTCACACTCATCCTTCCACTCATCCTTGCCACTGACCTGTTGGCGCATCCCTCGTTGAGGAAGTACAGATCCTTGACGAGTAGTGAGAAGAACGGTATGACAATCCTCTGTCTGCCATCGGAGCCCGTGTCGGAGTTGGAAGAACGCCACATGGCAGCCTGGGGGAGCACACAAGCGCGCAAACACGTGGGTGTGAGTCGAATAAGTGGCTGACAGGTTTGTAGGTTATACACTGGGATGGATGGAGCAGCACGTTTTGATGTTGATACATCATACATCATAGTGGTGGCAGTCGCACAGATAATCTGCATTATTCAAATGCCAGAGAACTCCCAGATTTTCACTTACTGCATAGTTCGATCCACTAGCGGACGTGTAAGCTACAACTAATGCAACTTACGTAACTTAACTTAGCTATATGCAGCAGTTGTTTCAGTGGTATGATTTCGGACGGAAATTATATCTTATTCAACGATTCTACGGTATCACTTATCTACTTTTAAAGTTGGCATAAAGTTGTCAACAGGACACTCAATAGGCAATTCTTTTCGGCAGAATTTAAAACCTAGGAAAACTCGACCTGCAGGCAAATGCGTCGAACACTTATGAAGTTCGTGCGTAACCTTAGTCGAGCCACAAAAGACACGGGGAATTGTGGTACATAGACGATTCTGAATTCCTTTCCGCACGTGGAGCTTTTGTTTCATAGCAAACTCCCATCGTTCGGAGCCTTTTCGTCCATACGGCCCTCACCTACTCCCCCTCCCTCTCGCCCTCTTTCTCTTATTCGCTTCTGTTTCGTCTTTCATGTATCGCCCTCCCATTCTTCGTCTTTCTACCCTCCACCTACGATCTTAGACTCTCTCGTCCCTAGGACACTCTCTCCCATCCCCTTCTATCCTCTATATCTGCGCTTCTCTTTGTCATTCATCTCCCCAATCCACCTTCTATCTTTACTCCTACCATCCTCTGTCCTCCGCTGTCCTCCCACCACCCTCTCTCCTTTCACTATCCTCTCACCTGCAGTGTCCTCCTGTAGCTGAGGAAGTTTGAGGACGGTGACATCTGTTGCTCGAGAACAGACAACTGAGCGCTGTCCACTCGAGACCACTGCAGACATAGGAAGAAAGCGGAAATCAGACAACAGACAACATCAGAAACACACCAGATACATGGGAAGACAACATATGACGCAGGACAGACGCGGGATCAGATGTCTGACAAATGGGAGAGGCAGGGTCAGACAACAGACTACGCCATATAGGATACGGGGCAAAGAGCATCATACAACTTCAGACAAGTCAAAGGTCAGACAATGTCTGACAGGTAGACACGGGACCAGACATGTGATCGGTAAGATTAGACAAGTGGTGAAAAGGGATCAGACTATCAGACAGCGCCAAACACGGAAGAAATCATATATTCGGATGTCAGACAGAAGACACAAGGAATACGTAATCACAAACAGGCATAAATCAAAATCTATTGGCGCACAGATAAGGCCAACAGACATATGCCATCCCTTAGAAAAGAACGTAGATAGTGCGTTGTCACTCAAAACATGATAAAGCAAAATAGCTCACACTATTGTACCTACGTGACTATAAAAACAACTTAAGCATCAAAGCAATGCAAAGCATACTATTCCGCGAATCGACAAGTGCTTTTCCGTGCAACACCTTGAAAGTCAAAAGCTCCAGCTAACAATATTACTATCTGATTTCCATGAAACGTGACAAGAAAATATAATATCGCGGCATATCGCATGGGACATCCCAAGGTATAGCATCATGAATATTTTAGCAGCCGCGTTCCCTGGTCTATCGTATCACGAGCGGTGGCTACTCGCGATCTGCTACGCTTGCTGAATTCGAGTCACACAAGGGTTTCCTGACACAGAGCAGTCATGATTTATTTTCGTTTCAAGATGGCGACACTACATTGTTGGGATATCTACGGCTCGCAGAATATTAAACCGAAGCCATGGGAATAATGTGTGATTATGTATACAGATGAGATGGAATGATCACAGCTGGGCTGGAACAGATTGTCATAATATGATTTGGGAGTTGAAATGTTTCTGAGCGGCAAGATGTTTTGGAAGTCACGCGACTACACAAGACACGTGCGGCAAGATATGATTCATGTCAACCAAAATCAGGATGCTCATAATATTGAAGTCAATTTAACCCGCGCCCTGCTGGGGGGGGTGTTTGAACACCCCCCTTGTGGTTTTTCGCAAATATCTCAAAAACGGCGGCGCGGAGCGCCGCCGTTTTTGGTACACCTTATCATACATCAATTCTACACATGTTGTGAAAATTTCAGACCAAGGTCATTCAAGGTCAGGTCACCAGGTCACTTGAAGTGACCTCACCTCATAAAAAGTTTCAATGTCTGTCATAGCTACACCGAGTGACCGATCGCTTTGAAACTTTCAGCGATTGCTGAGAGTAATAGCATGTACAAAATGTATATCTCAGAATTTTGATATCGATGACCTAAGGTCAGGTCAATTTTGCGACCTCCCCATTATAAGTCAATGGGAGAAAATTGAAAAGCGTCTGTTTTGGACAAAAGACATTATAAACACTCCTAAACACCGAATTACAAGTGTTTTAAACACAATGAACATGAAAATGGTGTATGTGACCCTTGTTTATGCCCTGAGGTCATCTAAGGTCACGAATGGTATCTAACAGTTTTTCGCAAATAACTTTTGATAGAGGCATGCTAGAGCGATGAAAACGCCTTAGATGTGTTCAGCTCGACGATACGGATCGACTGATATGCAACATGACCGTTTCCGGTCAGGTCATGACCTTGACCTGAGGTCAAATTTTCAAGTTGACCTTTCAAGGTCAACTTATAGTTCATTCGATGCGTCTTGACAAGAGGAACACAATGCCGGTAAAAGTAAGCTCGTACAAGGCTTGGGTCAAAAGTTATTGCAGAAAAACTGTTTCCGAAAAAATCGGCTATTTTTGCAGTTTTTGCCCCCTGCAGGGAAAACCGTTGACGTTAGGTCAAATCTAAGAGAATTATTCAGAAAGGGCGTTAAAAGGGCTATCGAATGCGCTTTTCCGCGGCGCTGTAGCTCTATTGGTTCTCGAGTTATGCGTTAGCTTCTTGGAAATTTTCGACATTCGACCTGGAAATCGGCGAATTTTTGCCTTCAATGACCTCTGGTGACCTGACCTTTGACCTGACCAAAAAATTGACCGAAGTGATTTCGTCATTATTTTTGACGCTCTTTCGAACGCCGCCTTCCGCGTATCGCTACGTGGCCCAGGAGCCGAGTTACAAGGGGGGGGTGTTTGAACACCCCCCCCCCCCCAGCAGGGCGTGGAAATCCAGGACCCCCAGCCGGGCGCGGGTTAACACGATACGATTATCACTCACCCAGTCACACTTCCCACAACAAACCAACTAGCCAAATAAATAGCTCATCATTCAACCTCACCATCCAAAGCGACCCCAGGACGTCTTTCTCACCGTTTTCTTGAGCCGGGCGACGGGCGACATGTTTAGTCCGGCGATGATGGCCATGAGAGAGTTGAAGTTGCCCGTGTTGAAGCACTCGCGTCCCACCTCTATCCAGTACTCGATCAGGCGGACCCGCTGCTTCTTCTTTACGTGCTGAGGGTAAAATAGAGATGGGTTATAACACTCGCGTCCCACCTCTATCCAGTACTCGATCAGGCGGACCCGCTGCTTCTTCTTCACGTGCTGAGGGTAAAATAGAGATGGGTTATAATACTCGCGGCCCACCTCTATCCAGTACTCGATCAGGCGGACCCGCTGCTTCTTCTTCACGTGCTGAGGGTAAAATAGAGATGGGTTATAACAATCGCGTCCCACCTCTATCCAATATTCGATCAGGCGGACCCGGTGCTTCTTCTTCACACGCTGAGGGGATAGAGATAGGCTACGATTACCGTACATCTTGAATATCAGCGAAAGATGACACATGGACCTAGACATCTATATAGCTGGCGCTATGTCCATTGTCCAGCGCCAAACATGACCTAGCTAGTGACCACAAAAAGCTAAAGTCTTCAGTATTTAGTATCCTTTATAGCCTTAGTATCCTTTATAACCCTACATAAATTATCATTTTAGCTATATGTATTTAGTGTTTAATCTGCAAGAAAGACAACGTAACATTTTCACAACAAAAACTGAATGCAATGAGCACTAATTGTCCGAATCCATCTCAGGAAGATTACGTCCACACACAATCTCTTTTCGTCTACTGCAAATTATAAAATGTCATCTCTATCCGTTCTCGGCATTCATGCTTTTCGACGGTAGAAATGAACCACATTTCTCTCTTTCGCGACGCATCAAATGATGTTTGGTTTGCATTAATCAAACACCCTCACATTTCTGCGAAATTCGAGTGTTCATCATCCACAGCCACTCATCTAGGTCGGATTTCGAGTGGTGGGAAGCGCCCGATCCCTTTGGTCTCGCAATTAGCCACACCGCTTATCGTTGACGAGATGAATCGATCATCTAAAGGATGATTACACATCGAATATAGCGCGGAATTGGCAGGCAATATGTAGCGAGAACTCACCGAAGAGCTCAGTCTCAAAATAGTCATTTATGATGAAATTTTAGCCGCTGTAAATACTCTTAGGACTCGACTTTCAACGCAAGTGAATGTGGCTTAACGCTACAAAATTCAGGTAAAACCTTGAGGCAAATGCATTACAGACCAATTCGCGAAATATCACAAGCATCTTATTATTGATTGCACAATTCGCAATCAATACTACTATTGCTCTTCCTTGAGTGACCTTGAAATGTCTAATCTAAACTAACTTTCAAATATGTATGTTAATGGTTGAACGGCATTGATCCTCCAGTCCTCAAAATAATACAGTTTTTCGCGCCTGCCTAATTCTCCGTATGTGATCTCGGTGCGGCGACGCGGCACTCACCATGCAGACTTCTGTGGCCACCATGTAGCTGAGCCTGTTGAACCACTGGATGTAGTTCTCCAGGTTCTTGGTCGTCTTCAGGTCCTTGTAGGCCGTGTCAATTCGAGGAGACTCCTGAGGCAAACGAAAAAAAAAAAAACAGTCACCGATAGAGCCAATGACAAAAACAAAAGGATTTCCACGCCATCACTTTCTCCGGAGGTAAGTTAGTCACGAAGAAAAATTTACCGCAACGGAAAGTTGTTTTGATGGGCTGGATGGGCAAATTATTACACATTTTCAGAGTAACAACATTGATAAAGTAGCCATGAAGTAGCCAATGATAATGTAAAAATAAGAAGAAAGGTGAGAACCATACAGACAAATGCTCAAATAAACGGCATTTACACTTTTGTCCATTAAGAACACCAGGCCATCCAGGGATACCAAAAGTGGCACTGGTCCCGTGACAAAATGCCGCCCCGACGTCCAGAATGACCACCATTATCATGTAAAGTGACACTACCGAAGACAGACGGCCCATACACCAAGCTTACATGTTCGACACAGGCCGGTTTATGGCTTAACTGAAGGCGGAGCGCCAGTTAGCACAGGCCTTTATGAAAGACTACAAAAACCTGCCATTAGGAATTAACGATGTCATTTCATAATCCGCGTAGGGGAAGGTGGGGTAAGACGGACCAGCTAAGGTTTGAGGCCGCATATCTTGCTACACTGCTCTCGTAATTCATATTATTTATAGTCTTCGGAATGCTCAATCCTTCCTCTGTTGATATGTGTAATGACTAAATTTCAAATTAAAGACATCTCGGTGGTGGATGCTGTTAAAGAGGGACATGTCAAAAACTCAGACAAGAAAAAACGTGGGGTAAGACGGACCACCCAGCAGTGCCTGCTATCCGTTCATGTGTGTTACACTTCTGCTCTGTACTCTTGTAAGAAAAAGTTACCAGAATGGTAAAATAACAAAATGAGCCTTTATTCTTTACTCATGTGTGATGGAAGTGCAGCTAAAAGCTAGGAAGATGTGTGTTGATTGTCGTTTGGCATGAATGCATGCTAACTGAGCACTTGCATGCATGGCTCACATGCAACAAGACTCCTTCCTGAAAAAGTAGCTTACGTAAACTTGTGTCAATGTTTTGGAAAAGAACTTTCCATATGCAGGGTACAATGGACCACCACAGGGTAAGATGGACCACAGTGGTCCGTCTTGCCCCAAATCTAAATTCTGTCATTATCATGACG